AATACTTAGTATCATTTATTTTTTAAAAGTTTTTGGTTTTTTTTCTAATATTTTTAGGGTACTCACTCCAGAGCCTCAAGGGGTTTACATCAATAATTAGGCAATTTATAGGATGAATAGGCTGGGACAATGGTTTGAATTTTTGTAAATTCTGTGAACTCTTGAAGAAAAAAGTGGTACAAATAGAAGGTACATGTATTGTAACGTGTGCGTATATGACATACACCTATCACACTCATTTTGTCATCTGGCGTTATCCACAGGGGATTGGTTCTGAGACAGCTTCTTCCTTAAATACCAAAATCCATGGATGCTCAAGTTCTGCATGTGAAATGATGTCATATTTGCATAAAACCTAAGCACATCCTCCTGTACGCTTTAAATTGTCTCTGGACTCCTTATGATAGCTAACACAATGCGCCGATATCATTTCAGTTGCCTGGATTCAACATAGTATTCTGTGTGTGGCAAATTCAAATTCTGCTTTTTGGAACTTTGTGGAATATTTTTTCCCAATTATTTTAGAGGCACAGTTGGTTGGATACAGAACTCGTAAATACAGAGGGCTGACTGTATATGTACACACATGCACATATATACCATACATATATGCCTATATTATATATGGGTAATTATAATTCATATATAGATATTGTATGTAGTGCATATGTATGCACATACATATGTATCGATACACACTTATGTTTATAGATATTATAAGACTTACTAGATTTTGGTCAGTTTTACTGACTGGTACCAAATTATTTTAAGCATCATTGCTTTGCATTTGTAACTAAATTAACCCTAGCTTGGGGTAAGAGCAGCATTAAAATTACATCACCAAAGTATTTCTTTGACTATGTTCTGACCTACAGAGATGGTTTGCAGCCTCAAAGTTCATTCTATGTAAGATCTGTCTTGCAGTCTATGTTATTATCTTGGTGCGTACTCTCACCCCTCTCAGAATCCTCCTTCTTATAGAGGTAATTATAATTCTCAGAGGCTGCTCCTGCATGTCTGCAATGCAGTCCTCAAACCGTGCTCCTGTTCCATATCCAGTCAAACTAAGCTTCATAAGTCAAAGAGAAATAAAATCCTTTACAAACAAGCAATTGCTCAGAGATTTCATCACCACAAGATGTACCTTACAAGAGCTCCTGAAAGAAGCACTAAGCACAGAAAGGAGCAACCAGTACCAGCCACTCCAAACATGTACTCAATGGTAAAGAGCATTGACACAATGAAGAAACTGCATCAACTAATGGAAAAAAAACCAGCTAGCATCAAAATGGCAGGATCAAATTCACATGTAACAATATTACCTTAAATGTAAATGGGCCAAATGCCCAAATCAAAAGACACAGAGTGGCAAATTGGATAAAAAGTCAAAATTCATCAGTATGCTCTAAGCAGGAAACCCATCTCACATGCAAAGATACACAGAGGGTGAGCATAATGACCTGAGGTCTAGAATAGGCAGTGCCACCTGATGAGAGAAAATGAGGAACTGTTATGGTGGAATAGAATCTTGCGGTCTACTGCTCCAAGAATCCACAGATGTATCCACAGAAACCCAGGTTCAGAAGGTGCTGTTCACTCTTTAATTGGTGCTTGATACCCTCTCATGGTTCTACCCACCATACAGAAGGAAAAGAGTTGATCTGTGAATTTTGAGTGACAGATTCCTGCCATGTGGCCTCGGATAAGTGGCCGAACATACTAACATTCAGTTTCTTCATCTACAGGTGGGATGATACTAGTACCTCTCTCGCATTATTATTACAAAAATCAACATTAATGACATAAAGCGTTTTCCTCTGTGTCTGGCTCTTAGATAACAATGAATAGTTATTAAATGATTATTGTTTGTGTCAAATGTTACTTGGTTCAGGATTATAGCATAAGAAGACAAGATCCATGGTGTCTGAAATCCGTTTTCTACTTGGTGCACGTAATATTGAAAATAAGATAAAGACACATGGTTCTGTAGTCCAGAATGGCTTTCTGAGTCTATCAAATCATAGCACAAGTTTATAATGCGACGGACATTTAGTTAGTGCTGCCTTGTGAAATAAACTCAGCCATTCCAAATCTGCCAAATACTTTTATATACTTGGAAATAATTTTACTCCAGTTGTCACTTTGGAAGGAAATGTTAGAATCCCTTGTGAGTTCCTTCTATCAACTGTGCAGCAAGCAGATGAAGACAATACAGTGCCAATGCTTTAGATTTATTAGAAATGTAAGAAGACAGTCAATTGTCCAGTGAAAAATAAATGTATAACACCTAGGCAAGCTTCTAAAGAAAGACCTAAAGTGAGTGCTTTTTAAAAAATATTGTTGCCCACATTTCAAAATCCAATTACCACCATATGTTTTTTATTCAGTAGTATTAGATAGTGGAGTTAAGGACTCAAAAATTTAAAATAATTTTTCTAATGTAAAAGATTTAAATGTATCATATTTTTAACTTTTATTTTATGTTGAGAGGTACATGCGTAGGTTTGCTACATGGGTAAATTGCGTGTCACAGGGCCTGGTGTACAAATTATTTTGTTATTCAGGTAATAAACATAGTGCCTGATAGGCAGTTTTTTTATTGCCACCCTCCTCCCAACTCCATCCTCAGTGCAGGCCCTGGTGTCTGCTGTTCTCTTCCTTGTGTTCATATGAACTCAAGGTTTAGCTTTCACTTACAAGTGAGAACATATGGTATTTGGTTTTCTGATCCTGTGTTAGTTCACTTAGGATAACGGCCTGCAGCTCCATCTATGTTGCTGCAAAGAACATAATCTCGTTCTTTTTTATGGCTGTGTAGTATTCCATGTTGTGTGTGTACCACATTTAAAAAACCCAGGCCACTACTGATGGACATTTAGGTTGATGCCATGTATTTGCTATTGTGAATTGTGCTGCAATGGACATACATATGCATGTAACTTTATAGTAGAATGATTTACATTCCTTTGGGAATATACCCAGTAATGGGATTGCTGAGTTGAATGGTAATTCTGTTTTAAGTTCTTTGAGAAATCTCTAAACTGCTTTCTACAATGCTGAACTAATTTACATTTCTACTAGCAATGTATAAGTGCCTTATTCTCTCCTCAAACTCACCAGCATCTGTTATTTTATGACTTTTCAATAGTAGCCATTCTGACTGGCATGAATAGTCCCTCATTGTGGTTTTGATTTGCATTTTCTAATGATTAGTGATGTTGAATATTTTTTCCTATGCTTGTTGGACACATGTACATCTTCTTTTGAAAATGATAAGTTTCTTTTACTTTGCAGAAACTCTTTACCTTAATTAGGTCCCATTTATCAGTTTTTGTTTTTGTTGCAATTGTCTTTGGTATCTTCATCATGAAAACTTCACCAGGTCCAATGTTCAGACTGGCATTTCTCAAGTTATCTTCCAGATTTTTCAGTTTTAGGTTTTACATTTAAATTTTTAATCCATCTTGAGTTGATTTTTATATATGGTGTAAGGTAGGGGTCCAGTTTCAATCTTCTGCATATGGCTAGGCCAGTTATCCCAGTACCTTTTATTGAATAGGGAGTCCTTTTCCATTGCTTGTATTTGTTCACTTTGTTGAAGATCTGATCGTTGTAGGTGTGTGGATTTACTTCTGGGTTCTCTAATCTGTTCCATTTGTCAATGTGTCTGTTTTCATATCAGTAACATGCTTCAGGTTACTAAAGCCTTGTAGTATATTTTGAAGTCATGTATTGTGATATCTCCAGTTTGTTCATTTTGCTAAGTGTTTTCTTGGCTATTTGGGGTCCTTTTTGGCTCCATGGGAATTTAAAAATAGTTTTTTCTAATTCTGTGAAGAATGTCATTGGTAGATTGATTGGAATAGTATTGAATCTGTAAATTGCTTTGGGGAGTATAGCCACCTTAACAATATTTACTCTTCCTATCATGAATGTGGAACCATTTCCGATTTGTTTTGTAATCTCTAATTTCTTTGAGCAATGTTTTATAATTCTCTTTGTAGCAACCTTTTACCTCCCTGGTTAGCTTATTCCTAGGTATTTTATTTTATTTTATTCTGTGGCTGTTGTGAACAGGACTGCATTCTTGATTTGGCTCTCAGCTTTAATATTGTTGATGTATAGGAATGCTACTAATTTTTGCACATAAATTTTGCATCCTGAAACTTTGCTGAAGCTGTTTATCAGCTCAAGGAGCTTTGGGGCAGAGACTGTGTGGTTTTCTAGGCATCAAATTCTATCATCTGCAAACAGATAGTTTGACTTTCTCTCTTTGTATTTGAATGCCCCCCCCCGCCTTTTTTTTCTCTTGCCTGACTGCTTTGGCTAGGACTTCCAGTACTTTGTTGAATAGGGGTGGTAAGAGAAGGCATAGTTTATTTGTTTCACTTTTCAAAGGAAATGCTTCTAGCTTTTGCCCATTCAGTATGATGTTGGCTGTAGATCTGGCATAGATAGCTCTTATTATTTTCAGCTATGTTCCCTTTATGCCTAGTGTTTTGAGGGATTTTTAAATGAAGGGATGTTTATTTCTGTGATAATTAGCAATGAGTTTGTGGGGGAAAAAATGAAGGGATGTTTAATTTTATTAAAACCTTTCTCTGTCTGCATCTATTAACATGACCATGTAGGCTTTGTTTTTAGTTTCATTTATGCAGCAAATCACATTTATTGATTTACCCGTGTTCAACAAAACTTGCATCCCAGGGATAAAGTCTTCCTGATTGTGTTGGATGAGTTTTTGATGTGTAGCTGGATTTGGTTTGCTAGTACTTTGTTGGGGATTTTTGCATCTATGTTCATCAAGGATATTGCCCTGAAGTTTATTTTTTTGCTGTCTCTCTGCCAGGTTTTGGTATCATGATGATGCTGGCCTCACAGTATGAGCTAAAGAGGAGTATTTTCTCAACATTTTTTTTTTAGAAAACTTTCAATAGGAATGGTACCAGCTCTTCTTCAAACATCTGATAGAATTTGACTCTGAGTCCATCTGGTCCTGGGCTTTTCTCATTGGTAGACTGTTTATTACACATTCAGTTTTGGATCTCATTATTGGTCTGCTCAGAGATTCAATTTCTTCCTATTCAATTTGGGAGGTTGTGTGTTTCTCATAATTTATCCATTTCTTCTATGTTTTCTATCTTGTTTGCATAGAGGTGTTCATAGTAGTCTGTGAGATTTTTTTGTTTTGTTTTGTTTTGTATTTCTGTAGGGTCAGTGGTAACATCTCCTCTATCATTTCTGGTTGTGTTTCTTTTCTTTTCTTTTCTTTTTTTTTTTTTTTTTTTTTTGATCTTCTGTCTTTTTTTATTAGTCTATTTTAGTAATCTGTTTATCTTACTTTTTCAAAGAACCAATTTTTGGTTGTGTTGATTTTTTTTTTGTCTGATTTTTGTAATATCTCAGTGTCCTTCAGTTCAACTCTATTTTTGGTTATTTTTTGTCTTTTGTCAGCTTTGGGGTTTGTTTGCTATTGTTTCTCTCATTTCTGTAGGTGTGATGATAGGTTGTTAACTGAAGATCTTTCTGATGTGGGACTTTATTGGCTATAAACTTCCCTCTTAACACTGCTTTAGCTGTGCCCCAGAGATTCTGGTATGTTGTATCTTTGTTCTTATTAGTTTCAAAAAATGTCTTGATTTCTGCTTTAATTTTGTTGTTTACCCAAAGGTCATTCAGAAGAAGATTGTTTAATTTCCATGTAATTGTTTGGTTTTGAGCAATTTTCTTAGTATCGATTTTTATTTTCGTTGTGCTGTTGTCTAAGGGTGTGGTTGGTGTAATTTTGTGGGGCTTTTCTTTTTTATATTTTGAGAATTACTTTATGGCCAATTGTCTGGCTGATTTAGAGTATGTGTCATGTGCAGATTTGGAGAGTGTATATTCTGTTGTTAGGGATAGAGAGTTCTGTAGATGTTTGTTAGGTCCACTGAGTCAAGTGTTGAGTTCACGTCCTGAATATCTTTGTTAGTTTTCTGCCTCAAAGATCTCCCTAATACAGTCAGTGTGAGGTTGAAGTCTCCCACTATTATTGTATGGTTATCTAAGTCTCTTCATATGTCTCTAAGAATTTGCCTTATGAATCTGAGTGCTCCTGTGTTGAGTGTATATATATTTAGAATAATTAGGTCTTCTTGTTGAAGTAAACTCATTATCACTATGTAGTGCCTTTCTTTGTCTTTTTTTTTCTTTGATTATTCATAATTTAAAGTCTGTTTTGTCTGAAATTAGAATAGCAATCCCTGCTATTTTTGTTTTCTATTAGATTTTTCTCCATCCTTTTACTTTGAGAATATGGTTGTTATTGCCTGTGAGAGGGGTCTTTTGAAGATAGTATACAGTTGAGTCTTGCTTATTTATCTAACTTGCCATTGCATGTCTTTTAATTATGGCATTTAGCCCATTTACATTCAAGGTTAATGTTGATATATGTGGATTTGATCCTGTCATTCTTCTGTTAGCTGATAATTAGAGGAACTTGTTTGTGTGGTTTCTTTACAGGGATAATGGTCTATATACTTAAGTGGGTTTTTGTAGTGGCCAGTAACGGTCTTTCATTTTCATACTTAGCAGTCCCTTCAGGACCTCTTGAAAGTTGAGTTTGGTGGTAATGAATTCTCTTAACATTTGCTTGTCTCAAAAGAATCTTATTACTCCTTCATTTATAAGCTTAGTTTGGTGGGATGTAAAATTCTTGGTTGAAATCTCTTTAAGAATTCTGAATATAGGCACCCAATCTGTTCTGGCTTATAGGGTTTCTGCTGAAAGGTCCACTTTTAGTCCTATATGATTTCCTTTATAGGTGACCTTCCCTTTCTCTCTCGTTGCCTTTAATATTTTTTTCTTCCACATTTGCCTTGGGGAATCTGATGATAATGTATCTTAGGGATGGTCTTTTGTGTCGCATATTTTGCATGTGTTCTCTGTATTTTCTAAATTTGAATGTTGGCCTCCCTAGCTACGTTGTGATAATTTTAACGGACAATATCCCAAAATATGTTTTCCATGTTGCCTCCTCTCTTTCCCTCTCTTTTAGCAATGTCAATGAGTCACAGATTTGGTCTCTTCACCTAATTCTAGATATCTTGGTGTTTTGTTCATTCTTCATGTTTTTTCTTTATTTTTGTCTGACTTAGTTATTTTGGAGAGCTGGTTTTGAGTTCTGAGACTTTTCCTGAGATTGGTTAATTCTGCTGTTAATACTTCTGATTGTATTGTGAAATTATTGAAGTGAGTTTTTTAGTTGTGTCAGATCAGTTTGGTTCTTTCTTAAAATGGCCCTTTTGTCTTTTATCTCCTGTATCATTTTATTTTATTCCTTAAAACTCTTGTTTGGGTTTCAACTTTCTTTTAAATCTTTACGATCTTCGTTCCTATCCATGTTGTGAATTCTGTCATTTCAGCCCTCTCAGCTCAGCTAAGAACCCTTGCTGAGGCAAAAGTACAGTTGTTTGGAGGAAAGAAGACAGTATAGATTTTTGAGTTTAGAGAGTTCTTGTGCTGTTTTTTTCTCATCTTTGTTGGCCAATGTTCCTTCAATCTTTGTAACTGCTGTCTTTTGGAAGGTTTTGTTTTTTGGGTTTTTTTGCTTTTATTTTCTTTGAAGCCCTTGGCTTTTGATTGTAGTAGAGTAAGGTGGGTTCAGTTGACTGGTGTGGCTTCTGAAGGATTTCAGGGGGCCAAGGCTTAGTTTAGTACTCTTGGGCTGCATGTTGTAACTCTGGGGGGCTAGTACTGGGCCCTCAGCGTTGTTTTCTGTCCTCTCAAGGCCAGGAGCCTGCTGCACTGGAGCGTGCAAGGTGTTCTTTGATAAGTGGCCACCACACTCCAATGGGTGGTGCCTACTAACGCACTTTATTGGATTGGTGGCAGTGGGATCTCTAGTAATTTGTGTATGACAGCAACAGTGGCAGCATGGTAGGGTGCATGCTTCTTGGCTATGGTGGGACACCAGTAGACGTGTGACTGCCAGCTTCTGTGGCACATTTATACAAGTGGTGGTCTTGTGGTACAGGGGGCATGACCACTGGTCTGTGTGTGAGCATATGCACTGGTAGTGGTGTTGGCATAGTGGTGAGGTGCTAGTGGGTGCAGCCTACATGCACACATTTGTGCCCATGGTGGTGGTGGCATGGGACAGGGAGTGAGGCCACCAGTGCCCATGCATGCATTAGTGCTGGGGGAAGTAATGGTACAAGGTGGAGGGACAAGTGCTATTTTAAAAATCACTAAAAAACTAAAAATTATTGTTCAACACCCGCCTATGAGTGAGAACATGCGGTGTTTGATCTTCTGCTCTTCTGTCAGTTTGCTGAGAATGATGGTTTCCAGGTTCATCCATGTCCCTACAAAGGACCCAAACTCATCGTTTTTGATGGCTCCATAATATTCCATGGTATATATGTGCCACATTTTCCCTATCCAGTCTATCGTTGATGGGCATTTGGGTTGGTTCCAGGTCTTTGCTATTGTAAACAGTGCTGCAATGAACATTCGGGTACACGTGTCCTTATAGTAGAACGATTGGGAGGGGAGCACTACACACTGGGGTCAGTTGGGGGGAAATAGGGGAGGGACGGTGGGGGGTGGGAAGCTGGGGAGAGATAGCAAGGGGAGAAATGCCAGATGTAGGTGATGGGGAGGAAGGCAGCAAATCACACTGCCACGTGTGTTCCTATGCAACAATTTTGCATGTTCTTCACATGTACCCCAAAACCTAAAATGCAATAAAATAAATAAATGGGAAAAAAAAAACTAAAAATTATTGGTCGAGGGCCATTATTGATAAATGTAGAACTAAATAATAGGTTTTTAGACTGGACTTGTTCTGTTAGAAATAGGTATAAGAAGTTATAAGCACCCCAGTTTGTGAGTCTTGTAGGTGATATTTTAAACATATTTTCCCTTAGAAACTGTCAAAAAGACAAAGGGCAAAAGTATATAGTATGATAATTCGGTGAAACATATTGTCTACCCATTTCTCAAATTTGGAGCTCCCATTATCCTATAAGTTCACCAGGCCATTACGTTAATCATTCTTTCAACATGTGTACTTCTTGTTGCTCTGAGATGTTGTCCATTTCTAGAAAATATTTGTATGTCTGCTTTAAAACACCATGAAGTATTATTGGGTTCAATTAAGAAAGGTAATAAAATGTATTAAGCATTTTAAAATCAAACACTTTGTGCCAGATACTACTGTCTTGCAAATATGGACTTATTTGATCCTCACAATAGTCTTGTGTCATAGGTGCTATTATCATTTGTCTTTTCCTAGATGATAGAAGCAAAGCATGAAGCCACCAATCTCCCTTGCAAAGCTGGACTTCGACACCAGAAAGTCTGGAGCCAGATTTCCTTCTCTTACATGCTAGTCTATACTGCCTAGGTTCCATATTGAAGATGAAAGCTTTTCAACATTTAGTAGCCCTGTCCTCTGAGTTTATTTTTTATCCTTGGGGGCATGGAACTGAGTTAACCATATGAAAGATCTTTGTCTTATGTTTCTGTAAGCACTTCTTTTGTTTGATTATATTTTGGTTTTCTCCACCCTTATATATTTAAGATACCTCTTTCCAATCCATCTTCTATATATTTACGTAGATTCATGTAGGTGTATCGTTAAAAACAGTAAACTTGTGTGTGTGTGTGTGTGTGTTTAAATTACATAAATTGTGATCTATTCCTGCTTTCCAACCCCCTCTTTCTTTTTCTGTTTCAAATCCTTCTGATCTAGCCATGTTGCTTTAAGTAAAATAAGTTCATTATTTCCGACAGTCGCAGAATATGCTATTGACAGTATAAATTACACTATCTTTTTCTCCACTGATGAATACCTATGTTACTTCCAACTCCTTTTTACCATTATCAATGCTACAGATATTAGTCTATATGTTTCATGGTAGATTTGAACGAGAATCTCTCTAGACTATACCTAGGGATTAAATTGTTAGATTATATTCATACTTAATTTCTCTAAGTATTTTTAGATTTCTCTTTTGCTGAGCTATACCAGTTTATACTTACACCTTCAAATCCTATTTTCTTTCCACACATCTTACCCAGCATTTGCTATTATTCAAATCTCTAAATTTTGCCAATATGATGGCTACAAAGGCTAATAAATTTATAATAAGATGCTAAACTCACTAAGAATCAGAGACAGACTCTCAGTTCACATATTCCTACCATTATTTTCCCAAGAGAAATGCTGCTAAGGTGGCTGTGGGCAGCATTTCAACTGCATGAGGGCTGGGAAGAGGGTGGAGAGCTCTTCTCACCTCCCTACACCCTTGAGGCTCTGAGGACCCAGCATAAAGCAATCATGATGGGGCCTATGATGTGGTAGATGCTCTGAGGAATGAAACACAATGTATTTTTCAAAAGTCTCAAACTAAGAAAATGTTGTAGCCTTGAACAGATTCATAAATGAATTTTTAAAACTCAATGTGAAATATTTCTCAAATTAGAAGTTAATTTCAGATATTTTTAAATGATTTAAATATTTTCCTGTCCTCTTATTGTTTAATTGTGTTTAGATGTTTTTATCTTTCATATTCGGGTGTTTTATGAATTTGAAGTTTCTTTTGGGATGATTTCTGAGGTAGGAATCAACTTTGATACTAGATATCAGCCAGTGTTGCCAACACTGTGTTTTTTATAATCCATAGTTTCCAGAGTGATTCGTGATTATACACCTACTGTATACCAGGTTCAGAGTCTGTTTCTGTGATCACTATCTTTTTCCATTTTTCTGTGTGTTCCTGTGCTAGACCTAACCTTGTTACTCTTAGTTCTGAAAAAGTATCTTAAGTATTTGTGAAAATTTATTTCATGTATTTTTTAGAATTAATAGAAAAGTTCCCTCCAGAGATCCACTGTGATATTTATTCTAATTGATTTAATCCAATTAAATAATTTATGGGAAATTGACAACTTTAGACTTTCAAGTCCATGAAACACATATATTTATGAAACATATATACTCCGTTTGTTTAGATTTTCTGTTGTTGTCTTCAATAGAGTTTGAAAGATTTTCTCAATAAAAATCCAGTTGACTATTACTGGTTGTAGAGAAATACTATTGATCCTGCATACAGTACCCATGATAATCTTTATTCTATTCTTATTATTTCCTAATCTTTATTCTGCCTGTATTTTTATATATCTTTTATCTTTCGCCACCAGTTATATTGAAACTTATTAAAAATGCTTCTATGGTTTCTTCACTAAAAATGAAGATTTGGTGTGGTTTTTAGTTCTTAGATTCTTAGTTTAAGAGATTTTGCCCTAAACAGGTTTGGATTTGGACTGTTTTTTAATACATCTATTAGGATTACCAGGTGATTTTTCTCCTTTAAAAGCTTTTTTGTTGTTATTAAATCATTCTTGAACTCCTTGGATAAGATATAAGTTAGCATGAGGTATATTTTTCATAAATGATTAGTTTGTGTAGTCTATTATTTAAATGTTTGCATTTATGTGCAATAGTCTTACAATTTTTTTTCTTATACTATTCTTATACAGTTTGGGCATCAAGGTTATTATAGCGTCATAAAATGAGTTTGGCAACTTTGTCTTTTTCCATTTTATGGAATGATTACAAGGTAAAGATGAGCTGTTCCTGGAAAGTTTGATCTAACTTAGATGAAAAAACCATCTAGTTTTAGCAGTTAGTTTGAGAATGGGAGAGGTAGTAGGAATATGGTGATAGCTTTCTGAGCAGCATTTAAAAATCTTTTTAAATCATTTATTTCCCTAAAATTTTAAGATGCCTGTAATATTTCTAAATACACCCTTTCATGATTTTATTTTTTATATATCTTATTTATTCTTTTTTTGAGAACAGACAGAAGTGTATCTAAATTATTAGTCTTTTTAAAGAATCCCATTTGTGTTACGTTAATTATATCTACTGTCGAATTTTGTTCTCTGTTTCAATTTTTGACCTTATTTTTTTTTTCCCTCTTCAATGTTTTGCTTTATTTAGTAGCTCCTTTTCTGGCTAGTTTTGTTCCCACCATTCTTTCTTGTTTTCCAAGTTAAGCTATAAACTTCCATTTAAGTAGTTCTCTATTTCTTCATATATAGACAAACAGTGATTGTATCATTCAGAGGTAAATATTTTTTAAATTTTCATTATGATGTTTCATTAATTCTGTGTTTATTCTCGTTTGTAATCATATAATTTTTGTGTTTTTACATTTCAGGCACATAGCAAGTTCTTTAGCTTATCATTTTTAATGATTTCTATTATTTCTGGATTCTCAGAAGATGTGGTTATTTGCTATTAATTATTTTTAATTTACTGAGTCTTCTTTGTAGGTTAGTCTATACACAGTTTTTTTTATTGTTTTCTTTGTGTCTGAAAAGAATATATAGTCTATGTTTACAGGATGTAAAATGTTCTCTTTATTAGTTCAAGTACATCATTCCCTTCTGTGTCTTTGAAAATTATTTGACTATTGGCCAATTAGTTTTCAAGAAAAATTTATTAAAAATCTCATCATTTGTAAATACATTAATTTTTCCCCTGTAACTCTATCAATTGTTGAAACTATATTTCAGTGAGTACATGTAGTCTCATGGTCATGAACTCTCACGGACTGTCGTACTGTCCTTTTACTAACATTTAACAATCTTTTTTTTACTGATTTTTTTTAATCTTTAAATCTTATTTTGTCTTATGTTAAATTTCTTTCACTGATATTTTTGTGTTCATATTTCATTGGTATATGTTTTTCTCCCCTGTTATTTTTAAACTGCTTCTGGCTTTTTAAAAACTATGTTTCTATTAAATAATATATTGATATTTTATAATTTTTATTCAATATGAATCTTTGCATTTGTGAATTAAGGGTTTTTTTTTGTAATAGCTGTCATTTAAAAACAATTTCTACTATTTTGTTTAAAACACAGCTTCTCATTTTTCTTCTAGTTTTTAACCTTCAATTGAATCTGTCAAGTTTTATTCTGTTTTTTCCCTGCCACCATTTTATGATTATGGCAGTTACCTCACTGCCAAATTGTTGCTTATTTTTCTTGAAATGTTCAAAAGCTTCAATAATTATGTCTTCCTCTCAACTAAAACAAATTCTTGATTAGTATCTTTCTCCTAGTCTCTTCTGCACTCATGTTAAAGTATTTTTGGCATTTTATATACACGTTTTGAACATTGCCTATTTGAACAACAATGAAAGTATTAAATTTCTAGTCATCTTATATTTTGTTGCACATTGCTTCTTCTTCTTTCTGAAAAACTTTGCCTAGAGAGCTCTAGAGAATCTTTGCATGATTAACTGTGTGAGACTAAGTATGCATGATAATATCTTTATTTTATCCTCACATTTAGATAATAGCTTAGTTCATTGCCTTGAATCCTTTGAAGCTGTTACCTCCTCGTTTTCTTCCAGCTAGTGTTCCAGTTGTGAAATCTGATGTTCCTTTGAAGTGACCTCTTATCACCCCAGAAACTTTTAGAATTATCTATGTCACTGATTTTCTAAATATTACTCTAGAGTGTCTAGTAGCTGATGTTTCTTATTGATCCTGTTTGAGCCTGGGACATTTTAAGTATATATTTCTTAGATATCTGAACCCTACTGGTTAATGCTTTTCTTCTGGAGCTCCCATTAGATACCTATCAATGTGTTCACTCCTCTCCTGTCTTCTGATGTTTCCCTTATGTTTTAAGTCACTTAATCCTTACTGAAATCACTGGGGAATCATGTCTTCTGGCATTCTTCATCTTCAATCTGTAGCCTTTGTCTTTCTTCGCATAGAGAGTTACTCAATTGTACCTTCCAGGGTGGTAATAAATTATTTTTTCTGTACATTCTGCTGTTCAATGCATCATGTGCATTATTTACTTCAACAGTTACATTTTCACACTTAATATCTCCAGGTGAATGCTCTGTTCCTTTGTGCATTGCCTCATTTCTAGTGTCCTTTCTTACATTCCTGAAGACATTTATTTAATTCTGTAACTCCTGCTAGGTTATTTAGTTTCTTGCCCTTTACAGTGCTGGTGCTTCTCAAATGTTATTTTTTTCCTTTTGAGTTTTATTCCTTTTGAAATTATTTGTTTCTCCTGGCTCACAATATCAGACTCTCAAGTCCCAGCCCGTTCCCTTCAATAGGAAGTTTAGCTTTGGTGCCTCAGGACAGTGGAGCCTCTGGTCGTGCAGTTAGAGCCCCACAAATACTCATTTTCTTCCCTCCCCCTCTGGGGTGGCTCTGCTCCAGAC